ATAACAAAATCAGACTGATCTACATAAGAGGTGACGTTTATATAAAGAGCGGTTTTTTGTTAAAAAACTCAGTTATTTTTCATCTGTAACATAAACGGTACTATAGTAATTGTGAATATTAACAGCAGGTATGAATCGATATCATGTATAAGTGTACAAAAGGTTGAGGAGTAGCTATAGTATAATTGATACCAATTCCTGATATAATTGAACTATAGTATAAGTTAAAAGTTAAATAATAAAATTTAAAAATTAATAACGTTTAGATAACTTAGTCAGTTTAAATAAATTAATTTTTATATTTAACTACATATTATGTTGTAAAACACATTGATTTACCTTATTTTTTCAAAGTTACAGTTTTATTTTTGAACAAAAAAATATTTTTCTTACAAAATAATTTTAAAAAATTTTAAAAATGCAATGACATAATGAGTGTGATGCCTTGTCTTTAGACGAAGAAACAGTTCTAAATAAATGTTTAATTTCGAAGATCCATGTCAAAAATCAAAAACAAAGCTTAAATCTACAAAATGACACGTCATCATTATATCCGATATATATATGTCATTTTTAGCCGTTGATGATTCGTTTGTCAGACATTAAATTATAACAACGGTTTGAAAATATGTTTTCTTCTTCTTTTAGATAATATATTTTCAAACCGTTGTTATAATTTAATGTCTGACAAACGAACCATCAACAGCTAAAACGACAGCCAGTCTTAATTATATAAATAAAACAATTTATTAATGTTATATTATACTTTTATTTATTTAACTTGCACTTAATTAATTCATATGTACGTATTGTCTGTCGAACAGTTCAATGAATACGCTATACACATAACACTATTTAGCGTTTCAATACAGTGATCACATGTAAATAAAAAAATCTCATGTATATAAACTAATTCGCATAACTTCTTTTTTCAAATATCCGTTCTGATAATTTTGATGTTCATGTAGCAAATCGGTCAGTTTGATGCGCAACAAAGCCCTGTATTCACTTGCAACTCAAAATTATAAAGGACCCCGCATGTTTCTCATGGGAAAGTACTTTCGGTCAAAATGGCTGAAAATTTAGCATGTTGTAGTTTATAGTGTTTTGATGAAAAGTCTCAATGGGCACGTAGTCCTAAAATCAACAGGTTCTGAGATATTGGAGCTCAAAGGCAACATCGGCCTCATATCGATTATTATGAAAAGTAACATATTGCTACGTTCTAATATACAGTATAAATATTTCATTGGTATACAAACATGTTTTTATTGTCTAGAATATATATTTATTATCTTCATAACGCACATCTATACAATATCAAAATAATGTCTATCCAATAATAATAGGCATGTCTGCTGCCCTATCTGCATTTAAGATTGCATCTAGTAGTCCAGTTGGAGGGTATTTAACATTCTCTTGATATCTCGCGTATCCTAGAAACCATAGCACAGCTGCTACGTGAGAACATGTATCTAAAGTTCTTGCTCCCGATTGACAGGTGCAATAACTACCAAGTATTGGATCTGGTTCGCTTTCCTCATTGTTTATTTCGATAAATGCTATTCATAGTTGATGACGAATTGCATTTCTGCAACTTGAATATATTCGCACCCTTATAAATCCTGGTTCGTTAAGTTGATCCAATTGAAATTGAGCTTCTCTATCTTCTAACACATTATCTTGTATATAAGAAGGCACTATTCTTAACTGATAAGTGTCGCAAATAAACTTTCGGAGGTAATCAGGTATTAGTTGAGGAAACAATGGAATTTGAGTTTCTTCTAGAGCTATCCAATTACCTCTCTTATTGTGGAGATTTTCAACATCCACTCTATAGCTTGTATAACATTTGGTTCGAGCATTCGCTGTCGCATTTTCCGCTAAGTCGACTGTAGTGTCTGGCATTATTACAGGTTCAAAAAATTTATTCATTATTGCTCCTGCAATAAGAAGGAAGTTTCGAATATAAAAAATGTGAGATGTACTAATTGAACCATCAAAGAATTTAAATATGGATTTTAAGTGTCCATTACGAGCCACGACAATCCACTTTGATTTAGACACAACACGGGAGTTATTCGCCTGCTCGGTAGTTAATTGGCTTTGACCACGATCTAAGAGCGAAGGCATTTCGATATGCAAACTAATTCTCTGTAGAGTAGAAATTGCGTCACGATAACCACGATCGATAATAAAAATATCTCCACGTTGAGACCAATTGCGCATATATTGTCACTCTTTCAAGTTCACGTAAAAGTATTGCAGCATCTTATGAATACAATACGATTGCCTCAATACTTTAAAGCACGAACTTTTCTCAATATTTAAATATGTGCAATCATTACATACAATAGCGCGAGGTGTTTCAGGCCTTGGATTATATAATCGATTTGCAAATGTAGTAATGTGCCTTTCTATATAACTGTCTCTTGTTATAGCATCAAAACCAATATTAAGTGAAACAAATCTTTGCATAAGTGATTGCCTTACAAGAGATATGGTATAAGTTGTTTTTTGACGCGTAGAATAATTAAAAATTACACGCAAAAACTCATCACTTAATCCTTGGCGCATTTTACAAAGAAAAGCCAGAAGATCCTTTTTAGAGGTATATCTTAAAGTATCATCAACTTTAACAGGGTCAACAAATGCAAAGAGTTTATTGAATTGTTGTTTTGTAATGGAAGATACAGCCTGAAACTCACTATCAGAAAAATTATTATCATCTTTAAATCTACGATTTGATTCGCGGGTGACTTGTTCACGCAGTGCTTGTAACTGGTTTCCTCGTATAAAGTATGGTCTGTTTGTGAATTGTAAGGCTGGAGTCCCATGATACGGAAATTACACCGGAACGGAACAGTGAGACCAATCACAATCACAGAAAGGAAAGTAGAGTAATGATTGCAGAGGTCTGATTGGTCTCACTGTTCCGTTCCGGTGTAATTTCCGTATCATGGGACTCCAGCATCACCCTAAGCCGTTTCTTAAAAATTGAAAGAATAACCCATTGTCATCCAAGTGTTGACAAACTGTCCTTTCCGGAATATATATACATATTTCGTTGAACAATAGTACATTGTGTGGGGATTAGTTGTCTATTGCGCGACGCGGGCGCGAGCGCTCGAGCGAAGCGAGTGGGGTTATAGTACATTGTGTAACGAGTGGAGGCTAGTGTTTATGGCGCGAAAAGGGCGCGAGCGTACAAGCGAAGCCAGTATAGTTTGATCATATTTCGAGGCATTAGAGTTATTTCACATATATAACATGGTATTCGCAATCTATTAGCCATTTTCTGCAAACACAAATACTCATATAAGGGAAAGAAAATGGTTTTCTTAGGCCACCGAGGCTTTACAGGTGCTGCGATAAAAGTTTATACACACATCAATACCCGGTTAATCACACGCTTGTTATCGTACAACTAACTAACATGCCACAATGACTCTGAATTTTTATTCATATCTACCATTCCGTTTTCCACAAGGTTTAATAACAATAGAATCGAGTGCTTATTTATTATTGTTTGTAGATCGTCGAAAACAACAATATGTCGAATGCGATCTGAAACCGAATGAAAACGACAAATCTTTAATGACCCAACGTTAACAATTCTCGTTTGACATAGACATGGTTGCCACAAATCAGGGAAGTCAGGGAAATTAACAAGTGCGTCAGGGAAGTTAGAGAAAGTCAGGGGTATAGCACATTTGTCAGGGAAATTAGAATAGCTGCAGCTGTACATTGTTAGCCTTTACGCTTTGCCGTGATCTTTTTTGACAACCACCCCCTTTTTTTTTTAAATCGATTCCTCCGAAAAATCAGCATCTAGATATGTACAATTGCTGGAAATTACAAGAAACATTGCAAAGTATGTATCATTCGAGGTCAGGGAAAATCTCAAAATTTTGTCAGTAAATCAGGGAAATGTCAGGAAATTTAACGATTACAAATTTGTGGCAACTCTAATAGATACATATGTATATCCCTCAGACACTGAACCTCTTAATGAACTTTTTACTTTCATATTGTATAGATGTGCGTTATGAAGATAATAAATATATATTCTAGATAATAAAAACATGTTTTTTTATATACCAATGAAATATTTATACTGTATATTCAGTATATTAGAAGGCAACGTAGCAATATATGTTACTTTTCATAATAATCGATATAAGGCCGATGTCGCCTTTGAGCTCCAATATCTTAGAACCTGTTGATTTTAGGATCACGTGTCCATTGAGACTTTTCATCGGGACACCATAACCTACAACGTACTAAATTTTGAGCCATTTTGACCGAAAGTACTTTCCCATAGAAACGTGCGGGGTCCTTTACTTATGCAAAAAATACCCGTTGCATACCGTTAAATTAAGTCACATGTATTTACACTCAATTCATGTACTGACGATGATCCAAACCAAGGATCTATTTTTTTATTTATTCTTTAAAATAAACTAAATGTTGTGTGCATTTGTAAATCCTGTGTTGATTCAAATAGGCTTTATTTACACATTGATTAATTCATAGGACCCTGTATCAAATAGATTTTATAATTAAGACATAACATTTTCAGTATTTTATATAAACAATATTAATTTTTAAAAAACCGTCAACGTAACAACATAACTAATACGAATCGAAGCCTATAACAGTCTAACTGGATCTTAGTTGCTTATATAATTTCGCGAATTTATATACTGATATATATAGTCTTTCTAAATTGCGGGCCGAACAATATCGGGCTTGAAACGCAACTCTAATAAAGTACCGTACTATCACGAATTAGTTATTTTATATAAACTTATTTTATAAATAACATGTTAAATGTATTCGATAATATTTACATATTTCTCTTCTGATTTTGTGCAATATAATTTCAAAAAACTGCATTTAATTTTAATATAAATTAGCTTACAATTAGTTAAAAAGATAACTTATATCCTTATATAAAATAAATATAGCATTTTTCTAGATTATTCGAGATAACAATCATGGATGGCAAAGAAACATGTACATCGTGGAACGATATTGATTCGCCTGAGGAAATTGTCATTTCTGGCATTGCAGGCAGATTTCCTAATTCAGATAATATGAATGAATTACGAGAAAATTTATTCAACAAAATTGATCTTGTAAGAGCTGATCATAGCCGATGGAAAATAGGTGATTAACTCATATTCATGGTTATACATTATACTTTTACATTTGCCATATTGATTATTATAAGATAAAATATTCCACTTCTCCTGTACTAAACATAATTACACCTCCATTTTTGTAATAAAGTATTTTTTTGGTAAATAGTATAATATACTGTATACTTCGAATTAAAATTTCTTGAGGACCTCATTTGCCTACAAATTAATTGCTTATAATAACTGGATTGCCTATAAGTATTATTATTTTCTGCTTTAAAATGCAAAAATTAAAAAGGACGTGTTCAGATTCCTATCCGGGTGCTCCTCGGGTATGATGTCATTTTTGTTCAATGTTCGGTAAACGACAAAAATAGAGTGATACCTGGACAATACTGGGATGGGAATCTGAACATAGCCAAAAAGATATAAAAATTACTTCTACTTTTTTAAGCAGAATTATACATTGCGACGTATTTTGCACGCGTGTGCACGTCGCAGGATGAAATAACAGAGGCGGGACGGAGGTCCTCCGCCGACCGAACGAAGGACTCGCGCGTTCGTTACCTTACAACTCACGCGGCCAAGCGAGAATCGCAAATTGTGAAAAGTTGAACGCTAGACGTCCTTAAAGGCGACTTCAACTTCGCGAATACTAAAAATCACACGCGACATCAAAATAAAAAACATCAAATTAATTAAATTTTACTACCCTGTATATGCACTGGATCCGTAGGCAAATGAAATGTAGGCAAACATTACTGCAAGTAATCAATTTGTAGGCAAAAGAATCCCGATTAAAATTTTATATAAAATGATAAACAAAGAACATAAAATACTGATGCAAATACATTTATATGCTTAGAGCATTTCGAATTTTCACGCCGTATGGGAATTATCAATAATGTGGAAAAATTTGATGCGGACTTTTTTGGATTAACTTTTGAGCAAGCACACACACTCACACCTGAAGCGAGATTATTATTAGAACATTCTTATGAAGCAATTATCGATGCAGGGATTAATCCAAAGCAATTAAAAGGAAAAAATACTGCTGTAATTGTAGGGCTATCTTTTATTGAATCACAATCAAAATTGTTAATGAATTGTGAGGTAAAAAAAAAGATATAAATATATAAACATACACATATGCATACATTTATTTATAAAAAAGGGGAGAAGAAACGGAGGAGAAGGGGGAGAGAGAGAGAGAGAGAGAGAGAGAGAGAGAGAGAGAG